ATTCAAGTCGACATTTGACAGCTTTGGAGGGGACCCATTTTCACAGAGACCCTCACCATCAACAGGCGATGGCTCTCCTTCTGTTTCCTCTAATGGGTTTGGTCAAGAGACAGGACTGGGTCATAATCAGAAGGATACTAAAGAACTGTTTGGACCGCTGCATCATATGAATGGTAACTCTCTCCCAGGAGAACACGGCTCTGGAACAGCTAAACTTCAGCAAATGGTTGATGGCCTGGAGAAGAGGACCAATGATCCCAATGAGTGTGTAATATGCCACAGGGTGCTCAGCTGCCAGAGCTCACTCAAGATGCACTACCGCACACACACCGGAGAGAGGCCTTACAAGTGCAAAATCTGCGGCCGTGCTTTCTCCACCAAGGGAAACCTCAAGGCTCATTATGGAGTGCACAGGGCCAACACTCCTCTTAAGATGCAGCACTCCTGTCCCATCTGCCAGAAGAAGTTCACAAACGCTGTGGTTCTGCAGCAGCACATCCGCATGCACATGGGTGGGCAGATCCCCAACACCCCAGTCCCAGAAAACCAGTTTGACGCGGCAGAAGCAATAGAGCAAAATCTACCAGAGGAGAAGCCCATGGACACCAATGGGTTTGACGCAAGCATGGAGGATCGTGAGCCAGAGCTGAACTCCCAGAAGCCAAACGACACCTTAGATTCCCTCCCATCTGCCCCTGAGGAACAATCACAGAAGCCTGCCGCCCCTGTGGTGTTTTCCAGTCTAGATGTTCTGAAGAACCTCACCTCTGCTCTTGCACTGAAACGACAGAGTAGCACTGCTTCAGAGAGCGAGGGAACATCCAAAGAATCCCCATCGGCTCCTAGAGAGCAGGAATATCAGAACGGCCGTAGTCCTGCTATTTCTGACTCTGCGACGTCTTTTCATTCATCCTCTCCACTAAACAACACGAGCAGTAGCAAGTCACCTGAGTCTGCTCTTGATGACTTCACCTATAGTGGATCAAGACCAGAGTCTGATGGTGGCACTCAAGAGGGCACAGAGTCAAGTGGAGCCCTTGACCTCACAGCATCCAGCAACTTTACCCCCAAAGCCATTAAAGAAGAACCTGGCATGCCTTTCACTAACGGAGACTATGGTGAGTTTTATTGACTTCAGATAAAGTATTTTAAACGCTGTCACATTAAATATTAAGATCTAATTTTCCTCTTCTTGTGTCAACAGTTCCAAGTAACATGTCTTTCATGAGGATTCCATCAAGTCTGGCCAGTTTGGAGATGAAGATCCCCTCAGAGAATCATTTGGGCCCTCATGGTCTGTTCAGCTCTCACATGCCTCAGGGAACAGCCATGGCCTCTTCCATCTCCTCCGCAGCTCGACGATCAACCAAGCAGCACGTGTGTAACGCCTGTGGCAAGAACTTCTCGTCGGCCAGTGCCTTGCAGATCCATGAGCGCACTCATACAGGGGAGAAGCCCTTTGCCTGCAACGTCTGTGGCAGGGCTTTCACCACCAAGGGGAATCTTAAGGTTAGTCACTAAGTGTTGACTGAGGCATTTTCATTCAAACTATGTACTTTGCAATATAATCTGCCTGATACAGATTTTTAGGGGCCTATACCAATATTGGGGAATCTAAATCTTATACACTCAAACTCTAATGGAATGGAATTGAATGGAATTCTAAATCACTATGAATTGACTAGTTAGAATAGTTTCTATATCAACATAAATGCTCATCTTTTCTGCATTGTTCTGTAGAAAACATTTTTTTTATCAGCACGTGTATTAATTGTTGAGGCTTTGCTTTCCAATGATGTAGCCAGGGTCTGGATGTGATTGTAATTTACCTGCTTTTTTTTGTTTTCCAGGTGCATATCGGCACTCACATGTGGACCAACTCCTCACGCCGTGGTCAGCGTCTATCTCTGGACAATCCCTTGACCCTCATGGCGATGAGTGCAGAGGCCCAGATGTTGCCAGAAATGATGCAGGCTCCTAAAGAACTGGGTGCTCCGCCCATGAGCTTTGATCCGTCTCTGTGGAACCAGTACGCTGCTGCCTTCAGTGGTGGCCTGACCATGAAGAACAATGAAATTTCTGTCATCCAGGGCGGTGGCATCCCGCTCCCCGGGAGCCCTGCTGGTGGCCCTCTCATCGGATCCACCGGAGGCCTCATGAAGATGGATGGGTCCCACTCTGGCTTGCCTGCCTCGGTGGCTGAAATTGAGAAGAACAGCTCTGACAGTGTGCCAAAATCCCAGTTCCCTCATTTTATGGAGGAGGGTAAAATTGCAGTCAATTAGGCTTGTTCTGCCGGTTTATTACCTGAACTCACTTTTTGAATGTCTCCTTTCGTGAATGAGGTACAATCAATATTCTGGGAAAACCTTTAGAATTCTGCTTAGATTGGTTGAATTTTTCCAGTAAGTTCACTGCAGCTCTCTCCTTCTGATCTGAACGATTCAAGTGTTATTCTTAGTTGAACTTGATATAACTACTGTAGTTGTATTTTATTTTACATAAATATATATGCGGGTATTTTTTTTTCCTTGTGATTTTTTTTTTTTGTTTTGTTTGCTGTCTATCCAGAAGTTTGAATGTATAACTTACTTGAAACTGCTTTAACTCAAGACTGTCTCCTAGATACTGAAGGATTTTGACTTTAATAGGAAAAGTTTCAGGGCGAGACACGAGTCTCAGTGTTCAGAAATGATGTCGTAGTTAACCGTATGTGTCTAATGACTACTTTCCCTCCTATTGTGTGCCATAGGTTTTATGACATTGTGCATTGTTGTAGTGGTAAATGTTGTCATGTCTCATTTTGAAGGGGCTTTGGTTTAGACTGAACTTATCACAGTGTCTTGTCTGTTAAAGCAAGTCACAACAGTTGAGTCATCAGTTTTGGACGATGCAGATTACATCATAGGTGTTTATCTTCGCTGCATTGGTGCCAAGTTACAGTTGTTAATGACTTTTTGCCAAGTGCCTGATTTGAACTGTATTTGTTGCTGTTGTCTTTCACTGATCCGGTTACGTTATGAAGGCCCTGTTTGGACTGATAAATTCATGTAGTACAGTGTAGCATGGCATGTATTTCAAATTTTCAGTTTGCGAAAGTCAATTTTTCAACCTACATATTCCACTTGTGTCTGCAGAGTCAAATTCAGTTGGCTGTTCTTATGCGCAATGTTCTCATGCCTGCACTTTATTCAGGTTTTAGTTACAGTTACTGTTTTTATAGTTGCAGTTCAGTTTCACTGCTTTATTGTGATGGCTAAACGGGGAAAGGGCAAATCAACAATTTTGTCAGCTTTTCCTTCCTGCAACAACCGTTTAGAGCAACTGCCAGACTTTTCAACTTGTAGCATCATTAATTTATTTATTATACACAATGCTTGAGTTTAGGGGGAAGTTCTACCTCGTTTAGATTTTAGTTGTCCTCAGTACCTCCTGTTCTCAATGCAATGCTCTGTATATTTTCAGATACATTCGTGAGCATACGACAAGGTTTTTCATTCTCAGCCTGCTGAGTGGAACAGTAATGAATGTATCACTGGACACTTTACACAACTCGGAAAGGTCAGACTACTTCGTAGGCCCCCGCTGTACATTCCTTATCGATATGCATTTGCCAAATTGTGCCTTTCTTTAGCAAACATGTCAAAACTGCTTTCAAGTTGTCTCTACAATTCAAGTAATGTTGAGCCAATTTGGCTTGTTTACAATGTAAATGTTTTTGTTTTTCCAATGTTTCCTTCACCTCAATGTTTTCTGATTTTGAAAAATAAAATCAGGGTGACTTTTTTCAATACTTTCACTGTCATTACTCCAGTATTGTTGCCAAACACATTTAAAGCTGATGGTCCACGACCAAAACCAGTACGACTACAGTGTGACGCACTCATCAGCGTTGCAACTGAAATGCTGTATATCCACCCCTCATGCTAATTATCTGTCAGCACGGATCAGGTTGAATGTTAATAAAATCCTTAACGTGTCAGTTCACCATCAGATATCTGAAGCCACAGGTTTTTGAGGTTTTCATGACACCAGGGGCCATTAATCACTTTGCATCTGCAACAAAAAAATATTTGCATCTTCAACTGAAGCTTTCTCTCTCCTCGTATGTTGATCATTCATTTCAGCTCAATGTATACAGTGAAGTTGTTTGACTCAGTTCAATGGTACCTTTTTGGTCTATACTCTCAGGGTTTGTGTCATTTGATTCAGTCATGGTCAACATTCAGAAGACAAGTTATAGTTTTGACATATATATATTTTTGAAGCACAGGATATAAATACTATAAGTAAACATAACTTGTATTAAAATCACACACTGCTGTGCCTCTGCTTCATAATGGACATTACTGATATTGTTTTTACCAAATTGGTGCACTTAACATTTTTCCCATCTGTTTTAAGAAGCTCATATAATCTGATAAGCTGGTACCAAATTCTGTCCTCCCATTTAGTTCTAAAAATATCTATAACTGTGGTTAAATTACCTACTATTATACAAGGCATACTGTACTAGTATGAAAATATGTCTGAAAACTTGTACGCCAAAGTATTACAAGCAGAATGTACCCAGAGTATACGTCTTTAAAATATTACATTAGTGGGTTATTGTCTTTTTTATAGTGAAATAGTATTTTAAATGAGTGATTATTTTAGACTAACTCATTCTTTTGAGATACGTAGTTGTTCTTTAAAATACTCAGTGAGTCATTATTATGAGATGGTGGTTCATTCTTTTAAGATATCTCTATATAAATGTAATACTAACCCAGTATTTTGAGATACTAATTCATTACTTTGAGATACTACCTCGGTATTTCCAGATACTGAGTCATTCTCATAATAATAATAATGACTGCTGAATTATTTTTTAACAAACTACTTGGTCTTCCATACTAATGAGAAAGACATAAAGATAATACAATTTCATATTATCAGCATGTTAATAAAGAATAAACAGTGTGTGATTCATCATCCAGTGATGTCATGTGTGGTAAAGGACAGGTTCGCTCTGTCTGTCCCCGTCCTGAGTGACTGACAGCTGGGGGAGCCTCCGCCCAGAACCGCCGCCGCCGCCGCCGCCTCCACCAGCGCGTCTGTCCGGGGCTGCCAGCCGAGTCCAGCCGCCACCGAGGCTGCAGACATGACCGACAACATCCCGCTCCAGCCCGTGAGACGACCGAAGAGACACGACGGCAAACACAGTAATGGGTAAGGCCGCCGCGAGGGACACGTTTATCACACGCACGAACCCGGAGCCGCGGAGCTAGCGCCGGGGGTCGGAGCGTCGGTGCGGCCGCGGGATGTGGCCGCACCGACGCGGCTCGACATCGGGTCCGGCGCTAGCAGCAGCTGTCGCGGAGGGTCCAGAATCGGAATCACGGGCGAAAACCCGCAGCTAGCGTCTCCGTCGATGCTAATAAACAGCGTGTAGCTTTAGCTCGGCTAGCGGAAGCTACACCGGGACGTCCCTGTTCCGGGGCTGCGGTCGGAGCAAGTGCACCCGACGCCCATGGTGTCAATATTTGCTCGGGCTGAGGAAAAACTGCGCAGACACGGAGGCCCTGGGTTTAATGTGACCCACCGCCCGGGCAGGAGCCAGGCTGAGCACGGGAACACGTCCTGGTCCAGTGTTTTCATCATTTTGTTTATGATCTACATTTTTATTCTTACGTGTAAATATCATGAGAACAGTGAACATGACTAATGATCCATAAAAACAATGTCAGCAGGAACAGCAGGTGTCAGGGTGTCTCATCCAAATTGAATGAATTGCAGTTTTCTTTACCCTAGAAAAGGCCCCTTTTATATTTAAATACTTAAACATTTACACCTTTTTTATGACAACTGAAGCCACCGCAGGTTCTGGGAGAGAGGCTGAGGCGAAGGGCGTTCAGCTGCAACATGCTAATTCACCACTAGGTGTCACTAAATTCTACACACTGTACCTTTAAGCGTTTAATCCGCAATTCCTTAAAGGGATACCTCTCACCACGATAATGGGGGCGTCGTCCAAGTGTCCGTAGGTCCTGACATTTAAATTAAAAACAAACCGACTGGACATACATAATATATTTAGTGGACTTGTGTACTTACATTATCCAAAAATGTTTCCAACAAACCCAGAGAAATCCCCAGTTTTATTCACGGTAACGGGACGTTTTTATATCGTTGGCCTTTTTATTGTGGCTTTACTCGTCTCTGCTAAAACCTCCAGGGGCAAACGATGCATGATGATGAAGGAAAAACACTCTGCTAGCCAATTAGCCAGTCGGCGGTTTTGTCCTTCCGTCTTTTTGTTTTGGACACTTTTAATGGATCACAATTTGTTCATTAGCGTTTGCTGCATTATTTGAATTAAATTGAAACACAAGATTTTTAATCGGTGATGGCGTTGAAGAACTCCCATAATCCCAGTTGCTTTTCCACAGGAGCCCAGAATGGACAAAACCAAACCCTGGAGTGACTTTTCACTTTACCTAAAGGTCACTGTAGGTTCAAGGGGGGGGGGGGGATTCAGTTGGTTGGAATCTGCAACTTCACCAACAGATCTTTAGTGTTTTCGTCTGAGAGGACTATACTCTACATTTGAGTGCCTCTAGTCAGCCTAATTCAAAATGACTACATATTTGCATGGCTTCTGAAATGTGGGGTGTGGGAATCATGAACCGGTTCCAGTTGGGATCCGGTTCAACCACCTGTGAACCTTTTGGTTTCTTGTATGAAAGTGGAAAAACAAAGATTTTTTTTAATAAACCGCCATACAAGCAGTTGTCTGAAATACTGTGTCTATGAACAGTGATTATTGTTGTAGCATTATAAAATGCGGTCAATCCTTTTTACTGCCTGAGAATAAAATCCCTCTGTCTGCAGCTGATAGAGACTGTAAACTTGTCCCGCCTGTAGTTTGTCTTTTATAACCCACGTAGTCAGGTAATAATCTCCGGGTCACTGGGCCGCTGGTTGATTGATAAGGAATCTTTTGTTTTGGTGAAGTGAAGGGAGGTACCACCCTGTTTCAGATGAAGTTAATGTTTATTTCGTAAGACACAATCTCAGCCTCGTCTGTTGTGTGGGTTTGTAGCAGCAATAAGCAAATGATTAACAAGGAGATGTGACCGGAAATTCATTAAACACGGAGCAGTCGTATGAACAGGTTCACACAATACAAAAACGGGGCTGTGAGTCAGATTCTTTGCATTCCTGCTGTTGGACTAAACGGTGTGTGATTCTTTAACCTTGCCTGGCGTTTCCTCTCAGGTGCTGCCCGTGGTCGAGGTGCTGTGGCATGGGGGACTTCCGTCCCCGCACCGTTTGGCTTGGCCACCCAGAAAAGAGGGAGCAGAGGTACCCCAGGAATGTCATTAACAACCAGAAGTACAACTTCTTCACCTTCCTGCCTGCGGTGAGTGTCAGCCAAAGGTCGCTCCTCCACCTTTCCTATCTCTAACCCCCCAAAAACCACCCACTTCTGCGAGCCTGATTCTCTGTTGTCATGTTGGACACTTTTATAGAGATGTATGATATTAGAGATCTGATTATCTTTCTTCATTTTATACTTCTCATATGACATCATTCCCCTCCCCGCTGATACGACCTATGCCTGAGGACATTTACCTACAGACTGTCACGTGAGATACCGATGAGGTTTATCATTGGCTTCTAAATGAAATGCTTCTCTCAGTTCACAACATAACGAGACCATCATCCGTTCTGAGATCACGGAATGTTATCGCCAAGTGTGTAATGTTCAGATGAAGACAGTTTAATGACGTGTCAGGAGGAGATCGATGGATTCGGCCACGTTGGGAAATCCAGCTTCATAATCTTAATGCACCATTTTCTTCACGTTCACCTTCAGATACTCAGACGAGTGTGGAAGGGACGGATGAGACATTTCTTAGGTGGACGGTTGTAACTAAGCTGCGTGCTGTGTTTGACTATGAATTTTCCTGCTTTGATTTACATACAAATTTGTTTTTCCTGATATTTAGTTGTCTCAAGATCTTAATTTTGTGCATGAAGACCGACGCTGAACATAGCTCCAATTTGCAAAACCTATTTGCATTGCAAAATGTTATGCTTTTTATTTACTTTCAGTTCTTCTCAATAAAACATAGGAAGTTTCCTTCTTGTGTGCTGCTCGACTCTGTACCAATGTGAAGACACAAGCTTTCCCCTTGTTGTAATGTTGCACAGTGGTGGTAATGAAATTGAGCAAAGTTAAAGTATGTGTGTTGAATATAAGAAAAACACCGGTGGAAAAGCTTTTTGTGTTTGCACGCTGTTCCATTCTGTAGAGATCTGTAGACTGAGCGAGGGATATTTTGATATTTACCAGGGAATGATATGAATTTGGAGTGTTTGGCTAAAATATTTATGTGGTAGTAACTCTTTTAATATTTCTGACAGCATAGGTCCAGTGTAGACAATCTTTTCAAATCCTTGAGGTTGATCTGAGAAAGTTTTCTTCACTGAGGGGATTTTGTTTTTCCATTTTCAAATTTAATTTCCCCAAAAGTTTACTTGAACATTTGTCGGCCTGCAAATACATTATTGATTAGTTTGTCGATTATCTTCTATTCTCTTTAATCCTTTAGTTCAGAAAATGGCAACAACCAGTGGAGTTTTTGCATTTATGGATTATTAAACTAGTTCCAAACAACTATAAATAATAATAAAACAAAAATTAAACGAGGATATAGAACTTGAAATAAGACAATTTTACATTAGATGTAGATATAAATGGCTTAGTGTTTTTACGTTGCCTTACATAAACGCTGATACTGTTATTTCTGTGAAAGGCTGATTTCAGATAATACATTTGTTAAATATTTTTATCTGGACCAGGCATGGCTTTAAAAAAAGGATGTCTGGCAGTAAATGTCAGCAATCTGCATAATAACTTGACACACAGCAAATATTTCACTGAGTGCTTTTCTTGTCTGTTCCCAGGTGCTGTACAATGAGTACAAATACTTCTTCAACTTGTACTTTTTGCTTCTGGCTTGCTCTCAATTCATTGAAGCGCTACGCTTGGGGGCCCTCTACACCTACTGGGTCCCTTTGGTATGTGATATTTTATCTGCTGCTTGTCCAGTCAATAGAATTTCTGCATTTTCTGTTCTTAAATTTCGTTCAGTGCATTATTGTTATTTTGGACGGAAACACAAACGTGGTGGCCACAGCGTTGTTTTCTCCCTTTCTAAATCCTGCCACCCTCCAGGGTCTTGTGCTGATTGTCACCATCATGAGAGAGGCAGTTGAAGAAATAAGATGCTATCTTCGAGACAAAGAAGTGAACTCTCAGATTTACAGCAAGCTCTCAACAAGAGGTAAGGATCAGAGACACGGACTGAGCCGCTTGTGTTTTGTCTGTGTTGATATCTGAGCCATGTTTCTTATTTCTAAGCATCAGTGTCTATTAACTGTAGGAGGTTGGTCCTAATAAAACTTATTGGGGCTGGGGGAAATGGAAGGTAATTCAAAACAGAGATTTAAAAGTGTACATAAGAGGCCTTGGTATAAAGTGCTACCAGCAATAAAAAGCAGGAGACCTCTTGTGGTTTCCATCACTTTGTCCCTTTGATGTGGCAGCTTGTTTTACCCATAAACACAATGACTGGTTGCCGCCATGATAGCGGCCCCAGTGCATATTTTAGGGTTTTATAGAAACTGTATGGTGAAGAAGTCAAAGCCTCTCATCTCCTCATCTTTTCTTTTTTAGACACAGTTTGTTTTTGAGAGCTCTGACCCGCAGCTGACTTTTCTTTGTTGATCTGTATTGTAAATTTGTAAGATTTGATTGCACTGATAGAGCAGAGCACTGCTGTGGAGCCCCATGAACACTAATGCGTGGCAATATTAATGTGCTTTAATGTCTTACATATGCAAAGACCAGGGGTCACAACAAAAGGTCAAGGGTCGGTGATCTCTTCCAAACAATTTTGCCCGTTCGTCCCAAATGGAATGAGAGAAAAGGCTCAGCTTCCCGAGCATTCCTACGAGTCTGCATGGAAAATTACCGGGCTCACTGGTGACACAACAGTTCACCCAGAGGAGACTTCAGCAGTAGATTTGTATTGACATATTTTGATTAAAAAACACATTAAGCTTCTGGGAAAGAAGAATACAATCCCACTGCTTTTAAAGTCTGTGTTTAAATGCATGGTCCCCGTTTATCGAGACTTTAAACAAAACAGTTGACTAATCTGAAGGTCTGATATAATCTTTAATGTGTTTAACCCATGTTAACAAAGTGAATTCTGTGTTTTAGGTACAGTGAAGGTTAAAAGCAGTGGAATTCAAGTGGGAGACCTTATAATCGTGGAGAAGGTTTGTGGCAGATTTTTTTTCATCCACATCTGTGACTAGTTTTGCTTTTTGCTTTTGCGTTTTTAGGACTGTCAAGTTTCCATTTATATGAGAGTGGATAATGAGGGGGCAGTTAATCTTCTGTGCTCCAGTGCTGACTGAGGTGAAAGGAGTTAGTAAAGATTTTGTAATCTTGTGATCAATGCTGAGCTTCAGCCTGTCAACCTCAATGCATACACAGTAGACATGAACCTAAAATACCTTCAATAAGATCTTGGACACAAATTCAATTAAGTACTATTCATTGATATGTTTTTTCAAGTTTGTGGTTTGTTTATAAGTTAGTTTGAGCTTTTAGGTTGAATCCGTTGTTTGGCCGAGTGGAGTCTCTGGGATCATTGCATGTGAAATACGAGAAGCGGGCCCTGTCTTTAGTTTCCGACCGAGGGCTTCTCTCTGAATCACTCATTTCAACGTAGCTGAAGGAAAGGTCACACATGTTGTCCCACACATTTCACTAATATGACTGAGTGATTCAGAGTTATGTGGCTCACAATTCAGGGAGACACTTCAGCAGAGGTGAAACCAGTAGCTGACAAAGGAAAAGCTTTGGAATTTTTAAATTAAGCTCCATTTTAAGGAGTCATAATACATCTTTATTAGACTATCGACCACTTAGCAATAATCCATAAACTGTTTAGGGACCAGAGCAGTGGAGGGACCGGGTCAAACAGGGAGTAAAACCTGGTCAGGGTCCTGTTCAGGCCACGACAGGATGATTTGTGCCGGAGGGCTTATTATTGTGACTGGCTGGCTGCTGGTAATGTGGCACATGAAAAGCATAAAGTCTTAACTTTGCTACAGCTAAAGAGCAGACGAGGAGGAGTGCAGGATCAAGAACTGATGTTTTTCTTTCTGCCTTTCTTTGTAGAACCAGCGTGTTCCTGCTGACATGATCTTTTTAAGGACCTCTGAAAGAAATGGTAAACATCTGCTGGTCATTCATCCAGATCTCCACAACAGACTGGCTGCCTGGCTGGCGGCCTGGGGAAATGACTTGTTTAAAAAGGCGCTGAGGTGCAGGGATTAGCCCTGAGCCAGGACAGGAAGTCCTACAATGTCTAAATTGCAATTGGGTCCAGTACTAAACTATCACTCAAAGTGTGGCCTGGCGGAGAATTGCCCCTACATTTAATAGTGAGATGGGCATTGTCGACAAAAAACCATGTGTCTTCGTCTTTGACTAATTTTGTCTTTCAAATGAGGAGGAAATTAATGAAAAGAAAATCTGAGGCACGCCCGAAAATCAAATGCAAAGAGAAAACAAGAGACAAGAGAGGAAGCTGCCTCATCCGAATAATCAAATACGGATTAGAAGGAGATTCGTGAGTGATTACACCAACGTGGAGAGTTGCGTTGTTTTGTTTATTTGCAAATATACAAACAAGTCGATTCAAAATAAGGCACAGCACCTTTTAGACAGTCTCGTCACAGGGAGATTTTATTTTCAGCCTCCAGATAAACAAATGTGACTGTGTAAGAGAAGCTACGTGTTTTTGTTGCGTCTTCCTGTCGGGGGAAGAAAAACAACAGCTTTGTTTTACTGGAAATAGTTCTTGGTTATCTCTCTTCCATGTGGAGGCCATTAGGTCAATTATGAAGAGCCTAGGCCAGGATCTGGAGTGAGGGCAGGATGACGCATGCAGGCTGGCGGGGGATGGGCTTTGCTGGATGCCTCCACTTCTGCCCTCACTTGATCCCAGAAGTCTTTTGCAGCCGATGTGTGATATGTGTCATGTATGACTCTGAGCCACATGTGTTTAAAAGCACTCTGTAATGTGTTGATTCACACAAATGTATGTGTGTCAGAACCACGTTTCACAGTAAGCCCTCGATATGTCATGAAACATAAATGCGCACATTCAGTGTCATCCTCCAGCACAAAGATGATGAGGCTCTTTCTCGCACTAAAGCCTGTCTGTTGTTGCCCTCTAGGGGTAAGTGTGTTTCCTCCTGGCATCAGTGGCAGCTCTTGTCCTCTTCTCCGTTCCAGGCTCCTGTTTCCTGCGGACTGACCAACTGGACGGAGAGACGGATTGGAAACTACGCCTCCCAGTGGCCTGCACGCAGAGACTGCCAACTGCTGCTGTGAGTAATGAAATGAAGATGGAGGAGAGTTATTTATTTTGCCGGGCGATTTAAAAACTCGAGAATTCTGGAGTAAATGCCGACGGGAGGACAGAGCAGTAATTTAAGTGCAGGAGAATCGTCAAATCTTAAAGTTCATCTCAGACCTGTATTGTTAGATGACGATTCTTTTTTGTGCTTGTGGTGTTTTTTTAGTTTTTTTTTTTTTTCTTTTAGAATAAACAGATTTTTACTTCAGGATATTTATGTTTGATTTTCTCACAGCAGTTTTCCATCTAATTGTAGCCTCAACTGTACATCATGTTCTCGATGTAAATTTCAAAACCATTGAGCAAACACTGCCGCTACACAAACTGTAAATCATGATATAAAGCTTGAGTCACAAAATAACGTACATCTTATCTGAGCTGGCATTTCTATTCTTTGACCAAACAAGACACTCTGAAGATGTGAATTTGGGCTTTGAAAATGTTAATGAATGAATGAATAGTTTATTGCAGCAATAATAAAAATAAAAATAATTACTGTTCTTTTTTTTTTCATTACATATGATTTATCTTTTATCCAAAGCGACTTACAATAAGTATAGAAAATAAATAAGTCATGATTGTATAGCACAGTTCTTAATAAAGTCACAAAGCGATTCACAAGAGGATAAAACAACAATAGCACAACATCGAAAATTACACAAACATTTCTTTAAAAATATATTTTTTTTTTTAGAGGGAACATTTTTAAGTACGGATGTCAATGCAGTTAAAAATGGGCATTTCTGATATCAGCTGGTAAGAAATAATGTTTGTGAGAATGAACAGTTTTTGCCTCGGGATTCAGGATATAATATGAATAAAGTAACAGCCAGGTTAGTCAAACAAAGGTCAATGAACAGATATATCTTGAATGTCTCATGGCCTCAGGCTTCTATGTGAAATGCAAAACTATAGAGCAAACACACCTAACTGTAAATCTTGAAAGCTGTTGTCTTTGAAGCTCAATCCCCAATGATTCAGAATTTCCCTGTTTTAATTATCTTTGTTTCGGACTGTTCGTCAAATCAAGACACTTTTAAGACGTTGATTTTTCTAGCTTTTTATTGACCAAGTGATGAATCGAGATAATAATCAGATTAATTGATAATAGCAGTAATGGTTAGTTGCAGCCGTCTTTACGGTCATGGTTTTAAAATCAGGACTGTAGCTGGATGTAGTTTTTTAATGGGCTGTGTCTCCGTCACTGTTTTCTCCATGTTCAATAGTCTTACAACAGAAAGAGTAAAACCCGTTGATGAGAACATGTACTGAAATATCGTATATGTGTGAGCACAGAAAGACGGAGAGGAAAGCAAACAGGTTGAAACTGGCTGAAGGCAAAAAAAAAATGTGAGGACGTCACAAACATATTTTGCTTATTGTCGTTTAAGCTGCTTCCTCAGTTTACCATATCGGCCAGACACCATCTAGGTTTTTCTCGTTTGAGGGTAAATGGTGTGTGCTTCAGGATTTACATATTTAAAAAAAAAAAAAAAAGAAAGAAAGAAACTGCTATGTTTGTCAAACAAGTGTAGGAATATTTATTTTTATTTTGAGTACCTCATAGCAGTTTGTAGCCTCGGGCAGAAGTCAAAAGAGCAAACACGGCTGCAACACAAACTGCAAATGATGATATATAACTGGCAGCTTGTGTCCATAGATGTCATGTTAAATAATGGTTCATTCTGAGGTGTAGCTGTAAATTCGACTGTATATAAAGATTGACGATGTGTCTGCTCCAAAACCAAAATATCCCACATGTGAGTGCCGCCAACGTGGAGCCAGTGTGTCTGCGCTGTCATGTTTGTGAGGCAGAAGCATCGAGGTCCTGCCAATACACGCCCTCAACCAAATGGCGTGTATCGGCGGCACTCATATCCTTAAATGCCGTTTTCAAGTGACTCTTACCTGTGGTATTGATCCTCAACCATTGTTCGGATGTGTTTCAGGACCTTCTCCAAATCAGATCATACGTTTACGCCGAAGAGCCGAATATTGACATCCATAACTTCATCGGAACTTTTACCAGGGTGAGTGCTCAGATAACTCTTCTGCCCCTTTTTTAAACAGGCAGGCCTTCATTTTACATCTGAATGTTCTCAAATATCTTAAATATTCTGGAATCCTGACTGGAAATCACTGGAGAACCTATTCACCTCATTCTGTAAATGTGTGTTTTTGTGTCTGGATAAAGTGATAAGGATCAGCCTGTCGTTTTAAAAATGCTTATCGTGTCCTTCGAACACTCCTTTCTGTTTGCAGAACAAACATCACAAGCACAATGGATGATCGGTTATTTGACTAGTTTGTGTGTCCCCTCCTCATTTTGTTGTATCAACCGTTACAGGAAGATGGAGATCCCCCAGTCAACGAAAGTCTCAGCATTGAGAACACCCTGTGGGCCAGCACCGTTGTTGCCTCTGGTAAATATCTGTCTGGGGGGTAAAGAAGCCAGTAAGACCCAGGAAGTAGCGATGACCAATCTTCGCTCTTAGCCTACATCGCTGAAATCTTAAAGAAAGTGTACTTCTTCCACAGGCCACGCTAACATACGTTATCTATTAAGCAGTTGGAAATCTGTATCCTATATTCCAAATGATTTTCTTCATTTGGAAATGTCTGCACGTCAGGATTATAAGTCCGGGAAACATCGTATAGATATATTATATTTATCAGTTGCTCCTTGATGATATTGGCCTGAAGCATTTTCTTCCTTGGTCTTTTTGTCTGCCTCCCTTCAGGCACGGTGGTGGGGGTTGTGATTTACACAGGAAAAGAGCTGCGCAGTGTCATGAACACCTCCAACCCAAGGCACAAGGTACAGTGGTGTTAAAGACGTCATTTGGTCGTTTAATTTGCACAAAAACGTATTTATTTTTGCCGATTTTAAATCATTACATATATTGTTGGTCTGATGCCTGATGTTAACCTCTGTTGCACACGATAGGTGGGTTTGTTTGACCTGGAGGTGAACTGTTTGACTAAGATTCTGTTCGTGGCCCTGGTTGTGGTGTCACTGGTCATGGTAGCCCTCCAGCACTTCGCCGGCCGTTGGTACCTCCAGATATTTCGCTTCCTGCTGCTCTTCTCTCACATTGTGCCCATCAGGTGGGATTGCAGATTCATCGTCGTCGTCAGCAGTGTTGTGTTTATGTGCACAGAGTTAAAAAATCACTCATTTATCTGTTTTGTGTTTTTTTTAATTGGATGCAGCTTGCGTGTCAATCTGGATATGGGAAAGATGGTTTTCAGTTGGATGATTAAGAAAGACTCCAAGATCCCTGGGACGTTGGTGAGGGCGAGCACCATACCTGAGCAGCTCGGACGCATCTCCTACCTGCTGACTGACAAAACAGGTCAGACTTAGTGTGGGAGTTCAAATGGAGAGGTTAAAGTGCGGAGGATTTACTCAGGTAGTATCCAGTTGTTTCCTGTCCTGGGGGGGGGGGGGTTCTCCCTCAAAGCTGTTACTTATTGGACCCTTAAATCATAAAAAAAAAAAGCCTTTAGTCTCCCATTAATTCACACCTTTACTTCCATTAGTGCATTTCCTCAGACGCAGGGCGCTGCATGTCAGATTTACAGCCCTCAGGCCCAATTAAATGATCGGCCATTTCCTCATCCAGAGTGTGACAAGGCCGGGGGTGGGGGGGGGGGGGCATGAGGTCTTGAAAATGCTTTTAAAGTGAGTGTGAGGATACAGAGGTTGTGTGTAGTGACAAAGAAAAAGAGTTCTGGTTTTCAAACGCAATCTTTGACATGCTGATATATGTCTGGTAATCCCTGCTCGTAAAACTGCTGCAGAAATACTTTTGAGACATTTTCGTGAACTCTGGAGAATGTGCGTACAATTGGGTCCGGACTCTCTCCAGAGTTTGCCCTTCACATATTAAGAACACTGCGGGAGATTGTCCGGTTCACAACACAGAAATCTCCACAATGTCCACAGCAGCTGACTCGGACATTTGCGTTCTCACATAGAACCTCTTCCGGATAATTGCAGGAGATTAACGAGGAGTTCAGCACATGTCTAAAAGCAGCTTTAGATATTAGAAGTATTAGCTCCTAATATTATGTTTAATCACCATAATCTAAAGCACAGTTTCATATTTTGTGCCGTTGCAAAAAAGTATTTTGCATTGAAATGTATTTTGTCTTGTAATCTTTTCCAGGGACTCTCACCCAAAATGAAATGGTGTTCCGGCGGCTCCACCTTGGAACTGTGGCCTACGGGATGGACTCAATGGATGAAGTACAGAGTCACGTGTTTACCGCCTACACACAGGTAAAGAAAATAAGATGAGAGAAGAAATGAACAAATCATGATTTAGGAAACAAACAGAAAAGAAAAGATTGAAATCCCCAAAGCTTGGGAAAGGGTAAAACAAACAGACATGAACATTGTTTTAAGAAACGTATCAGTTTGTGATTATTGTTTGGTTGAATGCTTCCTGTCCTCAGATGACACTCTTTGTCCCCTCTGACACCAGAGGTTAGTGAAGCAGGAAACAGGATTAGCCCACAAGCGAAGCACTGACCGGACTTCTTTAATGACGCGACCATTAACCCCTGGAACGCACAGCTCTCTAAAAATAGCAAGGTTCACAATGCAAACGCAAATTCTTCATGTGCTCTTTGCACATCTGGTTATGTTTACGGGCCACTGTCACAGCAATGATTGAAGCTTGGTCCGTTAAGCAACTTAAACCTGCATGTCCCCAGTTCCTATTTCCCTTTTTTTCCCAATTTGCCTGTTGTATGTGTGCTTATGTGTATTGTTGTATAAAACAGTATTTCAACATACAATGAATACGTTTGTGTTTAGAGCATAACGGACGTAATAAGTAGAGGAGGCAAGATGAAGTAGGAGTAGTGATGGAGAAAGATAAAGAGAGGAAGCTAAAGAGCAATACATGAAAAAACTAAACCATCATTTTTCAGTTTGATTTTCCTACAGCTTCTTTTTTCGGACAGCACAGATTCGACAGAGTGCCACAGCTCTTCTCAGATTCCCTCTGCCCCGCTCTGTTTGACCACATCACCTTCTGTAATTGTCCTCAGTCCGCCCATGACCTTCCAGCCTCCTGGGCTCCGGCAGCCACTAAGGTCCGCAAGACCATCAGCAGCAGAGTTCATGAGGCTGTAAAGGCCATCGCCCTGGTGCACAACGTGACACCAGTGTACGAGTCCAACGGGGTGACGGACCAGGCCGAGGCTGAGCAGCATTATGAAGACACGTGCAGAGTCTACCAGGCGTCCAGCCCCGATGAGGTATGACGCCACACACAGACCAGTCCACATCCCTACAGTTTAATTATTTTTATTATTATCCAGCAGAAAAGAGCTGATGGGATTCTTACGATTTAGATTTATCTTTAAATCATCAAATGGATCATAAAGGACTTTTGTAATTTTAAAGTACCCGTCTTGTTATTTTTTTACTTTGCTTGACCTTTACCTTGCTGCTTTTAAACTCGTTTGCTGAAGAAGAAAAGTTGCCCACCTTAAACCTAAGTTTAAGAAGTGAACGAACAGCTACTTAACAAATGAATCTTATTCTGATATGCAACTTCCACAAATGTGATGTGGAAACTTTAAGTCTTCAGCATTTGTGTAGGAACGATTCTGTCCAAACTTTTTGATCCGTATAAACGTGTGATCCCTGCAGGCGGTTTCCACTATTACAATAATAATCATCGTCTTTATTTATATACTGGTTGCTGCTCAAAGTTCCACTAAAACAAAAGATATTCTATTTAAACTGCAGTCATGGTATTTAAACACATTAAACAATGAGAAAGGAAGCACATTTAAAATAGAAGATTTACAAACTTCATAATAGAAGGTTAAAAACTAATTCAACACAATTAACTATTGTTACGTACCCTTGAACTTTTCCCACATTCATTAAACAAAGAGCTAAAATATTTCCGTCAGACAGTGCACGTAAATAAAACTTTAGGTTGATACATTTCACTCTGAGCTGATGGGAAATGTACACTTCATCTACCTAAACATCATTTACTCAAGGCCAAACAGGGAAGCATGGACAGGAGAACAGACTTCCGATCTCAAGAGTTCTTGGCTTTTTTCAGGCCGCGGCCATTAATTTGAGTTTCGACGCGGCTTTCTTCCTTAAAGTGGAACATTCCATATGTACGTCCTTGATCAGTGTGAATTCTTTGAACGTTAGGAAGAGGACTGCGACTTGATCAGTTTCCCTTCGGTGTAAATACGGATTTCCTTTATGTGTTCCACAGCCCTTTTGAATTTCCTCTTTGATAGTACACATTAACAGAACCCCGTGTACATGGAGTGACTAAAAAGACTTTGTATTGTTCTACCGTTTGTCACATTGAGTTTAAGAGTTGAAGTCGGTGTCTTTGACTTGCCGAGCCCTGAGAGATGCAGCCCTGTGTTTGTCCCATTCAATCTAGACAGGGATTCAGTTTGTGTTAGTTCGGCATCAGGAAGTCTTAATATAGGTCTGGGTTTGGCTGCGACACAACGTCAGTTACTGTTGAATACATGGTTTTTACCACATCAGTCAACAGCAACTTTTTCTTTGTGGTTTCCAGTTTTTGGAGATCTCAGCATGCAGAAGAAAGAAAGGTTGTCACGGGTCAATTTCGGAATAATTAACCACCAGTAATAACACCTCTGCAAAGGCCCAACAGTCTTAATCAAGCTGCACCAAATTACACACACTTATAAATATCAGTGCCCTGAATGTTCCTGAGTTTTTATAATCACTGACCTATGATCCTTGAACTATGATCCATTGGTTATTCCCTGAGAAATCTGTGGTAAAACAACAAACAAATCATCCGACGATGACATAGTGCGTGTGATTCACAAACGAAATCTGAAATCTGAATCACTTTGCCTTTAAGCTCGTAAAACAAACGTGGTGGTTCTGAGTCAAGGATCATTCAGCCCAGTCAGAAGTCGACAGCCAACGCAGATGCTGCTGTTACAAGGTGGTGCTGTCGTGGCGGACACCGGATCCTCGAAGGACCCCCACACGGCGATTTTTTTCTAGACTGTGACTCAGCACGATCTTCATATTTCCCAACCTGCATGACAAATTTTTACGGTAGTGAGAGTGATTCTGACGTTCAAGAGCATTGTCAGACTACGTGGTCATGCATTTCCAAAATAAGTAATTTCGGGAAACACGAATCCTGTGGTTTTAAAGTTGGAACGTGGCAATCTTTGTTGGTTCTTCTCATGTGCGTCCATTTGGCCTCTCTGCTACTAGCTGTGTCAGAAGATGGATGATGAATTGGTCACGTGATCTGGCTTCTCGTCTGGAAGTTATTGGGCAATCGTCGTTTCCCACACACACACACACACACACACACACACACACACACACACACACACACACACATTGTATTAATGGATGTCATCTGTCGTTCGCTCCGTCCTTCAGGACGGATCAAGCAGGAGCAATTTTTTCACTTCAGAAATGGACGTGTCCTTAGTTTATCAATCAATAGTTTTGAGTGCTGAAAACGCTCCAGCTATTGATTAGAGCTAAATGGCTACTGTGCCCTCTGACTAGCTATTCTCCTCTTCTGTTTTCTTTGTGATTCACGTAATGGAACATCGTATTGACTTAATGGATTCACCATGGAAACAATAAAAACCCCAGCTGGTCATCCTCCTCTCTGCCTATAAGATGATCACATTATATAAAACAACAACGTGGCACTCTGTCGGTCTTTACCTCCTTTATATACACACATGCATTTTAATCTTCACCCACCACAGTCCCTGCTATGTGTTGATAGGTGTCGCTGGTGCAGTGGACTGAGAGCGTCGGGCTCACGCTTGTGGGACGAGACCAGTCCTCCATGCAGCTGCGGACCCCTACTGGCCAAATCCTGAACTTCACCATCCTGCAGATATTCCCCTTCACGTATGAGAGCAAGAGGATGGGCATCATCGTGCGAGTGAGTGCCACAGTGATTTTGTACAGTTGTTGACAGTAGCTGTCATTCATCTCTACTTTGTGATGTGGTGTATTATGATTTTAAAATTAAGATGAGATAAACACTGGGGAAATTCACTTGTTACAGCAGCAGACCACGTGACCGGTGAAAATAAAGTTAAACAACAATGCAGAGAATATTTACATGACATGTACTTTTCTCTAGAGATGGAAATATTAATTGTAGAGAAACATACTTAAGTAAAGTTCAGTGGCACAGGATGTAAAAACTGCATCTGTGCATTATGTATATGTTCATATTGAAATAAACTTATATGCATTAATAGCTTTTTATTATTGTATTGGTAGGTACAATAGGAATATGAGTATTCAAATGGTATGTATAAAATCACTGTAGTATACTAAATAGCAGTATAATATATATTTAGGATATAGGTGCCTTTCACAATAAGAGGCATACATATAAAAGATAATGTAATTCAGTTATTTAACTTGACACTGACTTTCACATGAAACTGGAGAAAACAGATTTATCTTATAGGATATTATCTGAAGAAAAACTTGACCTTACAACGACCTCTGACTAAGTCTGATGACTAACTCTCTTTTCGTTGGCTGGGTTGTAACTCAGGAAGCCTGGGATCTTCAAACCTGACTTCCCCGTGATAATATTTTCAAGCCCGTTGTGAATACCAAAATAAGTTACGCATTTCTAGGCAACACAAACACATAAAATGGTGCGTTTGCACGTCAGCTCACATTAAGTGGAAATCCCCGAGTTTGGGCATATCAGGTTTTTACAGCCTGTCCATGTCTCACGCTGAATATTTGTTTGGCAGGATGAATCAACAGGGGAGATCACGTTCTATATGAAGGGTGCTGATGTGGTGATGGCAGGCATCGTCCAGTACAACGACTGGCTGGAGGAGGAGGTGGGTTTCCTTCTTTTTCACAAATCACGATGCAGCGACGGTGATTTTACTGCTGTCACCTGCCGACGCCAGATGTTCTCTCTGTTTTCAAGTGCGGAAACATGGCGAGGGAAGGTCTGAGGGTCCTTGTGGTCTCCAAGAAATCCCTGACTGAGGAGCAGTATCAGGATTTCGAGGTAAGCGATGAGGGGCTGTGTCTCGGTTTCATTCCAAACATCTTTGGTTATTGCGTAGTTAAATCATTACGGCTCGTAAACCACAGGAATCAGATGTGTTGCACAGTTGTTGCACTCAAATCACTCTCCAAATCTGAAGCCGACTGATATTTGATGCCGACTTGCATTTCAAAATGTCAGAGTGTGTTCTTGGGTAATCTGAGTAACCTCTGACCTCCAGCACCACCACCACTTCTAACCCGTACACCCCACACCCACACACACCCAGGCCCTACTCATTGTTAAAGGAAGGCAGGGCCGTCTCCCCTGCAGCCTTCATCCCCAGGCCCGTTACTGAAGTGTATAATTGTGTGAGCAGAGCGGGTGGGCAGCAGTGACTCACAGACTGAGTCACACACAGAGTTTGTGTTCCTGCATGAGTCACACTCGAATTATTTTTGCTTTATCTCACTCACAAATTGCCCTGGAGCTGGAAGCCTGAAACTGGGCTCAACCAATTGATCATGTCTGTTCTGTATTTCCAGCTCTTTTAAACACTGTGGTTCTCAGGCTGCTGGCGAGCAAATTCCTAAAGGTTTATATTTAAACTAAAACGTAAAATATTAGACGTAGAGGTTTCAGTACATGTTGGATGTCATGCGTTGGATGTTTTTCAAGTTTGTCTCCCTGTGTTTTCATTTATCTACCACAGCTGGTGGCCATATTTATATCTTCTCCTTCTATTCCTGGCCTTTTTCCGTCTTTTGTCTTTCAATGATTTTACCTTATTTAAAACGATTTAAAACTATTCCCATCCCTCTGCTGCATCCCCAGGCGCGGTATGTCCAGGCCAAGCTCAGTGTCCATGACCGCTCTCTGAAGGTGGCCACGGTGATTGAGAGTCTGGAGATGGAGATGGAGCTGCTGTGTCTGACGGGGGTAGAGGACCAGCTCCAGGCCGACGTCAGGCCCACCCTGGAGATCCTGCGCAATGCAGGCATTAAGGTTTGCAGCTGGATGACTGGGGGCTTCGTCCTGACAGTAGCAACACATTAAAAACACAAAACATAGAAACAAGACAGGTATTTATGTTTTTTGTATCTGTCCATGTAAAAAAGTACCTCATTTAAGTATAAAAACTAGCAGTAAACTAGATAGTCTCAGGTGAATTTGCTCAGTTTGATTGTGATTGTGAGGATTTCTCCCCCCACCACAGTACAGTGAAGGTAAAAATAATAATCTGCTCAATTCATTTAAAAATTCAATCTTTATTGTATCTTTCCACAAACTGTGTGTTTGTAACTCACAGTTTTCATTTGGGATAAGAAAAACACTGTGATTCATTTAATCTCCACTGAATCTGAATGTTTGATGAATATCTGAAAACCAAACACAATCTTCATCCCACGATGGTTAAACAATCGTATTTTAATTTTTTATCTGGATAAGACTGAGAGACCGGTTTTATTTCCCCTTTGAATCTCAAGCATCGGTAAGATAAGTCCACACATGTTCGCTATGCTCAGGTTGTTCGTCGAACGAGTGATCTGAGTCAGAAATTAATCTTTTTGGATTTGTGCAGGTGTGGATGCTGACAGGGGACAAGCTTGAAACTGCCACGTGCACCGCGAAGAATGCCCATCTGATCACCCGCAACCAGGACATCCACATCTTCAGACCCGTAAGTGTCAGACAAGGACCCATCTTCCCTTTGTCAGCCTATAAAGAGTTTTCTGTACCGCAGAGTTCATCGCAGTTCAGTGTACCACTGACCGTCGACCCACGGGCATCCATCTTCCGTTCGGCCGAGGCCCATTTGCTTGCGGTCATGCAGCTCCACGCAACTACGCACGCAGCCCAAGCCAGCATCCACAGCTGAATAAATCACCTCCCACCAGCGAAAGCATCCAAGCCACTGTCAGAGAGAACAAACAGGCGTTCGCTCAGCCAGCGTAGAGAAACCAGCTGAACCACTCCCAGAGGGAACATGCAGAGGGCTCACTTCCTAATTTGTTTTTCAGGTTTCAGCCTCTCTCGTCGCTTTGATAGTCCCCCCTTCTGCCTTCCTCTCTGGAGCCGTGCCAGAGCAGCAGGGGCGCCTGCCATATAGGAAGGTTACAACTTGCGCACAACTGCGGTTACTGGAAGAGAAAAACAATGGTTGGCACGGCTTGAAAACCTCTGTCCCAGTGGACGGGGGAGTGCTGACTGGGCCTGCTACACATACATCTGGATTAGTTTCCTGGTGGCCACCAACAGCCTGATCTGGATTGACGTATGAATAGTCAGCGGCTGAAGGATATTCATACCAGAGCATAAGTCATGTTGACAGATTAACACCGTGCCTTGTCAGTGCTGCATTTTTGGAACATTTGTAGATCTATATTTGAAACGGACGAAACTGTGAGGAACCTCGTGTCAGTGTACCGTCTCAAGAAAGATTTCAATGCCACATTTAGATTCGCAAGATAAGAAAGTGAATAAAGAACTAAACATACAGTATAAAAACAAGGAAACAAATAAAGATCTCACCCACGTTCATAAGCTTTTAATATAATACAGTGCTGCACAATAAATGAAATTAAATGATTTTATAGAATTATAGTCAACGTTTGGATGCATTGCTCTGCTAAAAGGGCAACAATTAAATTTTATCTTGTCACTAACTCCCAGTAGAAACTTAATGATTTGATTATAAACTCGTATAATTTTACAACATGCTGTTATTTGAGGTCCTGTTGTAATAAAAAAAAAAAAACCCAGCAGATCATCAGGAGAGTTAATCATTCATTAGGAGGACGTCTGGCAGATATTCAGTCGCTCGAACGTTTGTCATTGCTGCAGCTGAAGTGAAACTGCGATTGTTCTGATAACGATCAGGACGTTGACAGATTGTCATCCCTGATACATCGTCTTGTAGACTTTCTTTTTTTTTTTTGTGTGTGTGTGTGTTTGTGCTTTCATACGTGTGCATGAATGTGGTTTCCCTTGTCATAGGTGACAACACGAGGGGAAGCCCACCTGGAGCTCAACGCTTTCAGGAGAAAACACGACTGCGCTCTGGTGATATCAGGGGACTCGCTTGAGGTAAACACACCGAGTGAGTGTGTGTGTGTGTGTGTGTGTGTGCATGTGCGGGAATCTAACCCTCCTCCCACAGATTTATCACTCCCTATGAAACTCCAACGTATTTTCTGTGTGATGCATGATAATATCTCTGCCAGTGAGTGATCTCTGAAGATGGTGTCTGTGGTTAGAGTCCTTTTCTGAGCTGCAGTGGGAGTTTAACTGTAAGTCGGGTGGAGGTGTTGACGATCCCCGGCTGACTTCAGTAACATGCTGCGGCCTGAGCTGCTCACCTGTCTGTTCTCATCGGTCTCTGGCAGGTTTGTTTGAAGTACTATGAGTATGAGTTCATGGAGCTTGCGTGCCAGTGTCCCGCTGTGGTTTGCTGCCGATGTACACCCACTCAGAAGGCACAGATCGTGCGGCTGCTGCAGGAGCGCACAAACAAGCTCACCTGCGCTGTCGGTGAGTAGAAAATAGAAACTGTCCGACAGCTTTTTTCACCTCTTTCAAAGGGAATCAGCTTTTCCAACGGTTTTAACCTCAAACAACTCATATACTTTATCCGCATCCTCCTCAAAATATACGTGTCGCTGTCACTACGTTCTACTCATCTGATGCAAATGTCCTAATGCACGTTGTAAACAAAAACACACGCCACGTCCCTGCACCACGTTTCCATCCATTTGTGTTTACTTATAATTTATAGTGATTTACAATAACATTTATAGTTAAACCATAAAAAATGGAACCTCTGTTATGTTTTCTGTGTCATAAGGGTTTGATAAGCTCATCTTTGGAATCGTTAAAACAAACTGTGTATCTGTGTCAGAAGTTTTCTACCACGTAATATCGCCTGCAGCCCCCAGAAATCCATTTTGGTCAGACTCTTAATTCGTTTCATCCTTCTTGCTTTTCAGTTAAGTCACATTGTGATGACTGAGTCTCTATTTTATCTTGTGACAAAACTCTGCGGTTGATATCAGTGAGTCCCACAAACACTTCAAAGTAATTTCACAACAGTTCTTGTTTCACCGGGCAGAGCAGTGGAACTCAGTTTTAATGAACTAGATAACAATCAATCTGAATCTGCGTGTTTATTTTCTTACTTTTTTCTCATGAAGCTGCATCACTCAACGCCTCTATCTGGCAAATTCCAAACAGACAGGTCGAATTAGGCCAGATTCAGGGAGTGTCTCATAAGATACACACACACACACTCACGATACTTTGACCAACAGTTTGTATTGGTGAGTCACTGATGTGAATACTGACACTTCCATGCCTTTTGTTTTCTCTTAGGGGACGGAGGAAACGATGTCAGCATGATCCAGGAAGCCGACTGTGGCGTGGGAGTGGAGGGAAAAGTAAGACTCTCTCCATCTCATGGCCTCACACTGACGTGCCGCTCTCACAGATTCTCTCTCTGCGTTTCCTGTAAAGATCCCTCTCACGTTCAGAAACATGTAGAGGGACGTGCACACAGATGATTCCTCTTTATGAGGATCTATTGTCTGAGTTGAGGAAGTAACGATGACAGGATGCTTTTGCGCTCAAGTAAAAAGTAAGAGTTTCTCATCGGTGCAGTTCTGCAAAGATGGACACTTTACCCCGACGTGCATCTTTAGTGTTTTATCAACATCTGGGGGAAATTACTTGTGTGTTTTCATCTGTGTTAGTTTGTTAGTAACTTTTGGTCTGGATCTGATTTTGTTAATATCAGACATGTTTAGTGGACAGATGTGTGTGTGTGTGTTATAACACTGGAGTTGAAGGCCCCTTTTTGACTTTTGGAATTATCGGAGGCATCTTTTCGGTGGTGGGATTTTTTTATTCGTTTATTTGGTTCTGTGCTCTTTAAAAGTGAATGTGTCCTGTTTTTCTTCTCTTCTATAACGATAAACTGTTCATTTTGGGGGGTTTTAAACTGTCGTCTTGTGCTTTGTATAATTCTGATTTGCAAAACAAATGAATTGAATCAATTAGAATGAAGTACGGATGAATAGATAACATGGAGCCCCAATTAGTTTCAGTGTATGTGTGTTCCCAGGATGCATAAGAATCTTCAGACCTCATGTCTGAGCGATACTTCTTCCCCTGACACGTTTTTAGCCTCATTTTTGTTTCCACACGGCCGAGCCTCACTGTTAAATCAGTTCATATTACAGCGGGCACTGGAAGGCCTATTTTTCAGGTCAGCACAGACTTGTCCTCACCGTCCTCTGTGCTCTGTGTTTGACAGGAAGGAAAGCAGGCCTCCTTGGCTGCCGACTTCTCCGTGACTCAGTTCAAACACTTGGGTCGTCTGCTCATGGTGCACGGTCGGAACAGCTACAAAAGGTCCGCAGCCCTCAGCCAGTTTGTCATCCACAGGAGTCTGTGCATCAGCACCATGCAGGTAGAGTATGCAACCAAAACATGAAATTCATCGGCTGCATTTAAACTATTTAAAAACCACTTTGGCTCAGTTTCATCAGCAGTGAGTTTAAATTGGGAAAAACCCAGACCACAGAACTCTGCACTCACAGAGCACAAATGAAAACATCTGTATTGACGAATGTATGAAACATCTGCATTAGTTAATGTGCTATCTACACATCACGTACTGCGTTCATCAGAGCAGTAGAGTAGAAACAGCAGATGTTCATTCAACATCGCTACTGTTTTAGAAAATACTAATCATGTCATCGAGACCTCCAGCAACAGATTCCTTATGAAACCACATTTAAATCTATTAGATCTGTGCAAACTCATATATCAGTCCTCCAAATTTATTTCCTCGAGATCCATGAATTGTTCTCAAAAATAAAATCAGTTCAGTAGATTTTGAGTAATCCTGCTGAAAAACAATATTAATGCAAATGTCAGTATTTTACACGCGAATCAAACCTGAAATGTTCAGTCGATTATTAATTTGAAATATAAACGAGAAAACATGGAACCATATTTCACTTTTCTGTAACTGACTCATTCAATCAGAAGAAAGAAAAATAAATTGCACTAGAACGTGTTTCCTTTTCTTCCACCACCGTTACAGATTTGACCGGCAAGTAATTAGGAAAGCTGGATTTTATTCCTGTGCACCAACGTAATGATGCATAAGTAAAGAGGAATCATTGCAAACACAGGTTTTACTGATTCAGTTGAATGTGTGTTTGATAATCAGCCCTGAAACTCACATGTGGAGGTTTTATTCTGAGCAGGAGCGTCAGTGTTTAAAGGTTAGAAAGTCAGTTTTTTGTTTTTCCACGTTGAAACTGAGCTAAATTTACAACACAATGCTATAAAGAGAATTCTTTTTTTTCTGGTTTATGTTTATCCACAACACCTAAAGTCTAAATGTGAGGAATGGGAAATGATCGGGGCGAGGCAGGGACAAGTTCCAGGGGTGGTCATGGATGGGTGGAGTGCACGATGACTCAGAGGAGTGGGCCCGTGGTGCCCTTCTGAGCACCCCCCCACCCCCCTCCACTCTCACACACACACTCACCGAACTCCGTCCCCAATCCAGTTCCCATATCCGAGTCCAGCCTCAGCCCCCGCCGTGGAGGGACAGCCCATGACTCACTGCATCACGGACCTTTGGGGTTTCAGGGAGGCCCTCCTCCACATGTCTCACATTAACGCCGACCACAGCCGCAGCTGCGACCCGTCTGGTTTGGGGCCGCCTGGACTGTCGGGCCTCATGAGTTGACGGCTCAATACTGGCATCATCCATATGTCGGCCGGGGACACACGCCAGAATTAGTCAGTGCAGTAGCAGTGGAGTGAGGATTACAGTGGTGTTGTGTTTAATGTGGGATGTAGCTAATTGATTCGTCAGAGTGCGGTTTCCGTTTAATGTCTTTGTTACCGTGACAGGTTCATGTTATACTGGAATATTATTCCTCCTTTTTATCTGATTACTTCTGCGTGTAGCATTTGAAAAGTGTTTTCTTCATTATTATCTATTCTAATGAACAAGAGAAGAAGAATAAAGTTCTCCTTTTTGTCCCCAGGCTGTTTTCTCCTCTGTTTTCTACTTTGCCTCGGTCCCTCTCTACCAAGGATTTCTGATTATCGGGTAAGATACGGACACTGGATTCCAGTGACTTATCAAGGGAGCATTTGGCTGCCTTGTTTCTATGGCATTTCCTCTGTGTTGAAATGTGACAAGGGGGAAAATATGAATGTATCTGCTGCACGACTGATGCATCTGTAATGAATCCAACAATGAAACGTGTGAAACTTCATCTCCACGTGTCATTTCTGAAGCATGTTCTCCTCACTGAGAACACTTTGTCTATTTCAGCTACTCCACCATCTACACCATGTTCCCCGTCTTCTCCCTGGTGTTGGACAAGGACGTTGAATCAGAGGTTGCCATGTTGTACCCGGAGTTATACAAAGATCTCTTGAAGGTGCATAATGTGTTTTTGGTGCAATCCGGCTTAAAAACATGGAAAAATCCAAGTTATAACATTCACTTTATGTCTTGTTCTGCTTTTTTCTTTCACAGGGTCGACCTCTGTCTTTCAAGACATTTCTAATATGGGTCCTCATAAGTATCTATCAAGGTAAGGAAGTCGGTTTCTACAGAGATAATCCAAACCTCTAAATGTATAAAGAGTATGTAAACAGTTGCACAGCTGATATTCAGTGGAAACTATAGTTCCACTGATTTATCTGTTGGCTGCAACAACATTTGTATCACGTGTTCAAATCCCATCAACACTGCACCTCCTTTAACAATACTCATGTATGAAGCTGATTAGATCAACAGTTATAGGTTATATACAGAAAGTTATATACATAAAGACAGACTGAGATATCTTGAATTAGAAGATATATCACTTAAAGTACAACTCGTTCATAATCGTATTTCAAGTTCTATATGTTTTGTTGTCTTTCTTCTTATTTATGTTTATATGCGATAAAGTTTATAGTAAAAATAAAAATTTGTTTGTAACGAGGATTTGTTGTCAAATGATTATTATTCCGTCGATGTATTCGTAAGTGTTGTACTGTTAAATACACAGTGTGTAAAAATCCTTTTAGTTCAGGATCAAGTGCAAACACAGAATCTGTTTTCATCCGTGTGATGGGTGTGAGCGCGTCACGCGTGGACGAGAGAGCACGTCAGGTGAGAATCAGATGTTTGGTTCGGGCAGAAACACAAATCCTCCCCCTGCCTCGCCCACGTCTCTCGTAGCTCAGCCCGCACTCTGTCTCCTTGAAGTTTATTTATGTCTGAGGACTTTGTTTATCGCAAACACTTGATGCAACTCCAACGTGGGTCATTTGCAGTGAAAAGTGTTCGCAGGAGCACGAATGCTCACTTTTATAGCTGATCCTCACAACCTGAGTGTTTCCAAGTTATGCTCTTTGTAGACGAGATATTTATTTAATTCGCTGATCGGAGATTAAAATAATATACTATGAGAGTATATTATAGGTATATATATATGTATTACCTGACCCCTCTGAGAACTGTTTACTTCCTTCATAGCTCTAATCTGTTCTGTCGTCCACAGGGAGCATCATCATGTACGGGGCGCTGCTGCTCTTCGAGTCAGAGTTCGTCCATATCGTGGCCATTTCCTTCACCTCCCTGATCCTGACGGAGCTGCTGATGGTCGCCCTGACCATTCAGACGTGGCACTGGCTCATGATCGTCGGCGAGCTCCTGAGCTTGGCCTGTTATGTGGCCTCGCTCGTCTTCCTGCACGACTTCATCGGTGAGTGAACACTCGTTGACTCAGCGCCCTTTTCACTTCGCCGCAGCCTGATTGATGGGACCGTGCTTTTGGTCGCTCCCTTGAAGTCTTGCGTCAGTGTTCACCTCTGGTGCACAATAAGCTGCGGTATGCCGGTTGTTGTGAAGCCTAAAGGTGACAGCGTTGACAAACTGTCATTGGTGAGGACGCGGCTCTGACATACCGTCCCATCAAAGAGGAAATGCCAGCAGTCCTTCGGTTTCCTGTTCGACTGCTGTGGCTCGTGTTTATCACCGAAAAGGTAGAAAACACAAAAATAGCATTCTCCCTAATGTCAGACAGGAGAAGAATCAGAAACACAAACAGGCTTTGTTGCCCAGGGTCGAGTATGTTGGTGTTTATATGACAGCCTGCGTGTTGCCAGGCTGTTCAGCTGACTCCAAAACGAGGGCCCGTTTAGTCGTTGCCATATTAAGACGTGTGACCTACACAGCACCGAGGCTCTGCTCGCCTTTATTTTCATCTTTGTGTGGGGTGTGGATTTCCATTTCCAGCCTACAACCTGGACCGCTGAGGATCGTGAATCATGTGGTCAAACGAACCCTTTCCTGGACCCTTTGCCTCCTTCAGGTCACACTGGCAGAGACTTTAAAGGTCGCTGTTGCCTGTGAAGTTTACACGCTCAATCTGACATCTACTGAGGGAATCTGTAGGAGAAGGTTAAAGGTCATTTCAAAATAATCTCCCCGTCAACTATCGAGACTGTGATTATATTTTAAATGTCCCTGCTGCCACAGTTTCAGAATGAAATCTCCAACTTGGGAATTGTGAAAGTTTTGACTGTGCACGCAGATAGTCAGACCTCAGCTGCGGCTCAAACCTGCTCGATCTTGTCTTTCGCTCTTTGGTCTGTACGCCGATTAATGATGTGTACGTCCCACAAGTCTCTCTCCGTGACATCTGTCTCTTTCTCTGTCCCAGACATCTACTTCATCGCCACCGTGTCGTTCCTGTGGAAGGTGACCGTCATCACGCTCGTGAGCTGCCTGCCCCTGTACATCCTCAAGTACCTGCGGAGACGCTTCTCCCCGCCCAGCTACTCCAAACTGACCACTTAAAGAGCGCGAGCAGCCGCGGGCCTCGTTCAAACACAGGTGGCCCCACCCCACCCCACCCCCGCCTGCACGTACGACCAGAGAATCGAACATGGATTCATCCCCTCTAATTTCTTCTGAAAAAGTTCTCCTCGGAGATGTGACGGACGGACAGAGCTTTTTTCTTCAGGGGCAGGTTGTTTCTCGAGTTTGTGTTAACAAGCAGTGTTACTTGCTTCATGTGTCCGATGCAAAGATTAACTGACGGCTGCTTGTTTTGATTATGTGTTAGTCTGAAAAGCTGCAGACGTAAAAAAAAAAAATTAAAAAAAATTCGATGTAATGAAACAGATTGAGACTCCGAATGAGGGAAGTAAATTATGTGGGTCGAGTTTGTTTCACATCGGAGAGAAGTGGAAAAGTCTCACTCAGTTTGTTTCGATGTGTCATCTGGGCTGGAAGATAATTCTCTCTAATTTCTAGTTGCACCTAAATAGTAAAGTCGTTTTTATTATTAGACTCTGAAAGTGACGTCTGGTTCTCACTCAGGACCTGATTCACCGTCTCCTTAAAGAGGGCTTTGATAAATTACACGGTAAAAAAAAGTTTACTGGCTAGACTTTGCATAAAACACACGTCTGCAAGTTTGTGTGTTTGTTTATGCGTCACCCCGATGCTGCAGCCCGACGCGGCGGAGGAGGTGCGGCTGTTTATTTTCGAGTGACCTGTGGTGTCTGATGTTAAATCTGTCTTTGTGTTTCTGCACGGGCTCCGGAGTTTGTCGTGTTTGTGAAGCGCGGTCAAAACAGCCACGGAGGAGCGTCGGGGTTATTTGCAGCCGAGCCTCCGGGAGCGGGGCCCCCGGGGCGGCTGTGCGCCCGCAGAGGAATTTGCCGCCTCTCATGTGGCCGCTCCGCACCGGCCACGCTTCAGCATTGCATGATGACTCACTGTAACGGTGACCTAAAGCCATAACTGAAAATACCCCTGTGACCATTGTCCAGCTGCCCCCCCCGCCCCTCCCTCTTCTCCTCCTTCATGTCGTCCAATGTCCCCGATGTCCTCACTGATACTAACCTTCACAGTTCAGCTGTGAAATAAAAACGCGGATCAAATGGAGACTAACAACGTGATTTTGTTATTTATTCCGACTGCACATTGAGAAGAAACCGAACGGTTCGTTACGTCGGTATTTTCACTCGTCACGTTTCCTTTCACTGTAAATAATGAGCGGCTCGTCCGATCACATGACCACGTGCTCCTTCAGGTCAAAGTTCAAAACGAATCTCATCGTTCTTCAGACAGAAAATCGAACTTTTAATCACCACTTTGTTTGTTTGCACAGGATTTTGACTGATTTATTTTTTATGTTACGTGATAGAAATGACAAATAACACGATTGCTTGTACATAACCATTTTTTTTATTTATTAACCTGTTTTATTTAATGCTGTCGATTCCACTGAATGAAAAAAAGGGAGAATTGTGTTGATGTCAATGTTGTGATGACGATTAATAAATCTCATGTTTTCTTTTCTCACTGCAGTTTTTCTTCTTCTGTGGTTTCATGTCAGTTTTTTGTCCAACATATTGTCAGAAACTGTTTTTCTGTCCGATTGTCAGTGAGATTACTCAAAAACTCCACGAAACCTGGTGGAAGGATGTGACACGACATTGGACCAAGAAAGAATTCATTAGGTTTCGACACAGATTCGGACGAAGGAGGTAGATTTTATTTCAGTTTTTATTTTCGTTTTGTCAGAATCAGGTCATTGCAGGTTTTGTTCTCTTTAGGATTTTTTTTTTTTTTTTGACAATGAAATCTGACTGACCTTTAACAGGGCGAACCATGAGGAGCGCGCTTTGTGAAGCGCTCCCACGTGACGGGTGTGACGAGACGTTGAGAACATCTGAAGGAGTTTGACGTCATCTTGAGGTTTCATGAATATAAATCGTGAAACGGCCTCAAAATGCTGAATAATGGAGCTCGCTGTGGCTTAACGACCATTTTGTGAATTATAAAAGTGGCACTGATTTATCTTAATGTGGCCCGAACGAGATTTAGTGATGTCACACTCGGTCACGATGAGATTAGAGACGGGGAAACCCTGTCATGTGTCCTGGGAGAGACTTTCCTTTCCTTTTTTCAGTTTGGACCAAAACCGACGTCCAGAGTTTGTATGTAAAAACAATCATGTCGACTCTGGTGGGTTTGTGATGAGGTGTGAGTTACACAGGATGTACTGAAGGTGCAGGCAGGTCTGGATGTTTGACGGTTGCTCACCAGAGGAGGGAGTCCCTGATGCCTGGAGACGCTCCTGTCTTCACCCTCCTCCTCCTCCTCCTCCTCATCATGTTCCAGGTTTTTTTAACAAACCTTTCACTCAGGAATCAAAACGCAGAACAAATAAAAACACAAAATAACAGGAAATGGAATCAACAAATTCGCTTTTTGGGAGAATTTTCAAACGAAGAGACGTTTTTTTTTTTCAGTCTTTGAACTTTAGTTTTACTGTTCAGAAGGAACATTATTAATTCTCCATGTAGGTGTCGGAGCTCATCGTGTTTCAGCTCTGAGGTGGTTTCAGCTGGACGAGACCCTCGGTCATAAAATGCACCTCAGTACTGCATGTTCAAATTAAACTCTTTTTTTTTTTCTTCCTCTTATTCCACTGCCCGAATGCGTAAGTTATACCATTAAAAGAAACCATTAAACTTTTCAAGACCCATGAAAAGTGAAATCCCAGCCCAGAATCAACAGAGCTGCCTGCTAACCTCAACATTCGTGGTCGTCCCTCCTCTCTTCAAGCTGCGTGGAGCCCCCCCACCCCCCACCCCCCCGCTGGTCTGCTGCCAAATCCACAATCCAATCAAAGTAAAGAAGCAGAAATTTACTTTGCTTTTTTTATTTTTTATTCCTATACAAGGTTTGGATTTTCAACCTTTAAAAAAAGAAAGAGAAAAGAGGTCCCTCACAACTGTTACATAACAGAACCAGGCTAATTGTCACAAGGTCGGCACATTTTATCTTTGGCTCCTCAAGACAGGAATTTGTTTTCCAGCTCGGAAACATCTTACACGCTGCTCCCAATGGAACAGAGCAAGACGGAGAGAGCGAGAGAGAGAGAGAGAGAGAAAGAGAAAGAGACTACCGTATACTACGGAACACACCGCACACCGTCACAGGCCCCTGACTGGAGCGCTTCATGCAGATGATACCATGGAACCATGTGGGATCCGTATCCAACCTTCGGGCCAAGGCGACCACATCAACAAGGCCACTGGGCCTTCGCCAGTTTCCTGTAGAAGACTCCCGCCGCATGGTTTGGGTCTGAGGTCAGCTGTGCGTCTGTGTCACATCTGATTGGTTGATGAACTCACTCACTTTAGCTCCAGGTCGCGTAACGCAGCTCGGATTGCTCGCCGCATTAAGCTCGTCTGTTTTAAAGGCCGTATACAAAGATGGACACAAATAACAGTGAAGCCAAGGTGTCTCTCAATCCCCACCTGGTGGCTGGCTGCAGTGTAGGTCCCCGCCTCCTCCGTGTTAGCAGATGGGACATGGACCAAACTATGATGGTTTCTGTCATAGGTAGATATTTAATTGGCAGGTTGTCAGGTAGGTAGGTCGGTAGTTCAGTCAGTCTGTAGGTCAGCAGGTAGGTGGGTCAGTCGGTAGGTATAGATAGATAGATTGGTAAGTAGGTAAGAAGGTAGGTAGGTAGGTAATTAGGTAGGTAGGTAAGAAGGTA